AAAATTTATTGATTTCACTTGTATTATGCTAGATATTTATGAAATTTCTATGATAAATTTAGATACAGTGACGATTTAATATAACTTATTTGTTGGAATTGAGTTTCATTTTAAAACTTTCCTCTCACTGGGAACAGATGCTTTAAAATGACGCTTTAATTCTAAATCTCTTCCCTCTTTCTTTTTATCTTTTTCCATTTCATTTTCTAGTTTTTTCTTTTCTTCTTTTCATTGCATATAATATTCCATTCTCAATGTTCTTACTCTTGTTCTCCAATTCGATTTCATGTATATATACAAATGAGGACATTGGTCTTTGTTAATCACACCAAGTCTCAATCCAAATATATGTTTGTCTAATCTTGTGGCTTATTCTTTGTTTGAGATGTGGTTGATTGACGATGTGACATTGCTGCTGGAAGAAAAATGGAGTTAACTACTGAGGAACTATGTTGGTTTTTGAGATGATTGAGACTTGTATTGTTGCCTGCCGATACTAAAGAAGGAAAATATATTATGGGATAACCGAACACAGGTGGTTGATGTATGTTGCTACTTGGGTATTTGATTAGGAAAAGGACGACATGTCAACAGAGCTAGTGATTTGATTTGTTGAAAATAATGTCGGTTTGAAGTGACTCAGTGCTTAGATGAGTTAGTTGAATCAACTCCATTTCCAAATTCAACTAGTTTTCTTAGTTTGACCAAGTTTGGGTTGATAACCAACTGGGCCTCCTACATCCTAACAAATACTCGGGTTTGGGAAAAACTGACTCGCCCAACCATGTCAAACTTGGGTTGACAATCAGGCTTATGATTCTTGTCTTTTTTGGAAGATACATTGGTTCAAATTCCAATACTTGTTTATTTTCTACAAATAAATAAGTTTAATAATTGTGAAGGAAAATATATCATTCATACTTTCGCTCTTGTTGTAGGAATTTGAAACGGGAAAATACTTTTCTCATCCCAGTCTTATATATTGTATTGTGTTTAGACGTAGACATAAGTCATTGCCCTAGAAATTCATTAACATGTCAAAAAATGGTGAAATGAATCAATAATGAAGCTCAATCTCGAACAATGATCATTGGATCTAATCAAGCCATATTAGGAACATGTTAAAAAGTTAGCAGTTAACCTGGCTAAAACGTTAAAAAAACCAGTCCCATATAGTATGCATAAGGATATGATTTCTTCAACTGATATATGAGTTTCAATTTTAAAGTTATCATCTGTTTATAATATACATTGAAATATAAATTAAGTATTAAAATATAATTAAAATAATAAAAAAAATATGAAAGTCGAAGTATCAAATCACCAAATAAGTAGTTAAATACGGTACGGGAAAGTTACGTAAAAAATACGTACGGGTATTTTACGTCGTCTCTAAGCTAAAGGTACGTTTAATAGTACATTAATAGTAATAAATATATAAAAATAAATTATTTTAAAAATAAATAAGTATATAAATAATAGTAAAGTTCACAATTTAATTCATTAAATACGGATATTAAACGTGTTATACGGATTTTATACGTGTTTAGTACGGGAGCCATCCAACGAACGGGAAAAAATAAAACGGCTTAACAATAATACGGATATGGAAGTTTTAAACGGATAAAGTACGTACGGGTACATATACGTGTATTAAACGGAGTATTTACTAACTATGCTTATGAGAGATTTAGTTGCTAGCTAACCGCTGAAAATGTCTTTTGATTTTTGAGATTTTAGGTTTGTGTATTTTTTTTCTTTTAAAACATACAACAAATATGTGTAGCGTGATTGGTTGTAGCCTTTCCCTCTCTTAAAAGTGGTCATGGTTCAAATCCTTACATGTATAGATTTTTTGTAAATAAATAAGAAAGAAATAAGTAGTTGTGAAGACAAAAATGTCCTTACTACTTTTACTCTCGAATCTCGATGCGGAAAATTTGAAATGTGTTCATCCGGGTAAAAGTAACTTGGCCCAACCGATTTTATTCGAACTGGTCCTGATCCAACTCAAGTTTTTTTTGTCCATGCCTCTCCACTAGGGATGGCAATCAAACCCATGGCCGCGGGTATCCGACCGTCCCCGACCCAGTCAACGCGGGGAATCCCCGCTTTGACCGGGTATGGGGCGGGTATGGGTAAAACCCGCAAAAAGTTTGATGGGTATGGGGCGGGTATGGTTTTAGCCTCCCCCGCCCCATACCCATCCCCATAGCCGCCCCACCAAGATAATTACTTCATATATAAAAAAATATGTGCATCAAATTATAATCTATCAATGATGATGAGGATAACTTGAGAAAATAAATAGTAGAAATGCAATTGAGTGACCACCTTAATCAAAATCTAATTCATTTCTCTCAATTCTCATTTCACTCTTTCACTTTCCCCCTTGTCAACAAGAATATGTTAGTTAATTATTATTTAGTAGATGTATCAGAGTTAGAACATAATAATTTGAAAAATATTATACTCTATATTATGTATTAATGGATATTTTAGGATCATAATCTTTGAACCATATTAAAAAAATGACTGTGTTTTGTTGACTTCATGATATAATATGTTCGTTTAGAGTTATAATTAGAACTTTTCTTGTAAGTTTTAGGTATAATAATGTTGGATGTACGGGTATGGGTATTACCCATGGGTACCCGAAACCCACGGGTACGGGGATGGGTTTGCAAAACATTCCCCCGCATGGGTATGGGGCGGGTATGGGTTTGGGTATTTGAGGATGGGTATGGGGATGGTTTAAGCAAACCCGCCCATTGCCATCCCTACTCTCCACTAACTTGTCTATAAATTGCATGAAATTGCTAAAACATAATGATATTGCCCTCAAGTCATTCCAGTGTCAATAGACCATCATTTAGCAATATAGACATAAAATGTACAATGAAATAATTATATTAACACACAAAATAATATTTTTTTTTTGTTATCAAGCAACCTTCCTTGGTGATTAAGCATAAGCTAACTTATGGTTATGCACCCAAACTCAAACAAGTAACGACATTTACATCTCCATTCAACATGATGCATGTATGTAACTATTGAGTTGAAGTTAAGCCAAGGTTGGAAGACGATCGAAGTATGTTTATGATGGTTTGGTAAGTGATCAATTTGCTTTGACGCTTCATGAAAATCGACTACATAAGAGTCGATACCTTGTGATGATTAGAATATGTTGGAGAAATATGCCTTCGGTAGTTGACTTTAAATTTTTTGTTTAATGGATAATCGGGGTATTCTATTGCTTTTGAGGCGGTGAATGTATTATGAGCCACTAAATAGTAAAGGGCATTTGATTCTCCTAGACAAATTTAAATTGCTCATGTTGAGCTTACTTTATAAAATACATTATCGGAGTTTGCACACCTTTAATGATTAATAGTGGGCGAAATTTGGCTGCAAACCGGGTTGCAGCCCGTTGCTGCTGCTAGCCCACATGGCACCAGCTGATTGGTGATAAATTAATTCTTTAATAGCCAACCAAAATAAGAGGAAGTAGGGAAAGGAACGGAAGTAGGAGAGCTCTTGCCGTTACTGCTTTTTTTCATAAGAGGTGGGAGAAACATGAGAGTGGAAGTGGCAGATTTGGTTTTAAAAAAAATAGTAGGAGAATTCTCGTTAAACAGATACAACTTGCATTTTTAATAATTAACTTTTAGATTTAATTTTGCTCTGTTAGGTTTTTATCCTACTTAGAAACAATATTGGAACTTCCTAGGTATCTTGAAGTAACATAATTTGAATTTTTTTACTTATTATAGCAGGTTTTACAAGTCGTATTTATGTAAAATACAAGAGGCATTATGTAGTGGTTAACATAGTTAGTAAAATACGATACAGGAAAGTTACGTATAAAATATGTACAGGTATTATACTTTTTCTCTAAACTAAAGTTATGTTTAATAGTACGTTAATAGTCATAAATATATAAAAATTAATAAATATATAAATAATAGTAAAGTTAACAATTTAATTCGTAAAATATGGATAATAAACGTGTTATATGGGTTTTATACGTGTTTAGTACGGGAGTCATCAAATGAACAGATAAAAATGAAATAGCTTGACAATAATACGGGTATGGAAGTTTTAAATGGATAAAATACATACGGGTACATATACGTGTATTAAACGGAGTATTTACTAACTATGGTGGTTAAGTTACATATGATAATTTTATGTAACAGTTGTAAAAGATAATTCGTAAACGGTTATTTTACATAATGGTTAAATAATTGTTGTTCGTAACCTTTAAATAATGGAATGTCCTTTTACGTAATGAGTATTTATCTTGTATTATGTAAAGTGTTAAATCATTACAGAAACCTTACATAATGCTTCCAAGAAATAACTAATTAACTATGGTTCATAATTTTTACGTAATGGATGTGGATTTTACGTAACAGTTATAAAATGTCATTACGGAAGGCTTACGGAATGAAAGATCCATTTCCGTAATGAGTATCAACCTTACTTTAAGCAAAACTAAGTCATTACAATAGTATTACGTAGCACTTCCGATTTAACTGTGACGTAAGTTATTATGAATGTGTATTCATTAATGAAAAGTAACACACAAAATATATTTTAATTGATAAATTCATTTTGAACGATTTTTAATTACACTAGAGTTAATGTATTTATAATTATGTTCCTAAAGCTTCAAATGTAGTATCCAAAGTTATCACTTTTTATGGGAAATAATAAAGAACTAAATCTAAAAATGAAGTGAAAAAATTAAGCAACCTATATTAACTTTGCGTTCTAATTGAGAGAAAGAGAAGGAGATAACGGGAAATAAATCTCCCACTTCCGTTCCGTTCTGTGCTTCCTCCTATTTTGGTTGGCAATTACACAATTAATTTGTCCCCAATCATCTGGTGCCACGTGGGCTGGCAGCAGCAACGGGCTGCAACCCAGGATGCAACCAAATTTCGCCCATAATAATATGTGTTTAAGCTCCTCATTTTCGTTCGTTTTTCAACCAAAAACAATTTGTTTTATACTACCATTACCATGTTGTACGTTCTTCCATTAAAACCTTACATAACCATGATCGATAGTTTCTGTTGGGTATTATGCTCTAATACGTAATTCCTGGCCAAAGGCTCTAATTTTGACCGGTCTCAACTTGATAATTTGTTAATCGTGGTAATAGATGCTAGTAGAGAATAGATCAATGACATTTTCGTATACAAAATAAGGTGACAATTTTATGTCAAAAGGTTGGAGAAAACACAAACCAACCGCCATTAAAAAAGAATGGAAAGCCACTTTTAGTTCATTCATTCTTGGGAGACGGGGGTGCCAATTCCATGGCGCTTGGTTGGAAAAGCCAGGAACAACAAGCTGCTAACCAACCCAATTCCCAAAGGCAATGTAGAAAGCAACTCTTTTACTTCCTCCGTAGGCTCACGAAAGAAACAACTCAGCACATTCTTGTCGAACAACGCCACGGCCACAAAAACCATTACACTCATCGTAGCGTGGAAGAAATCTAGGAACCTCAACCTATATTGTCTTGATTCCTCTAATGGAAGTTTTACGGATCCGTCCATAACCCACAACCCATTGAATGTCGCCAGTCCATACCTTACCTTTCCCTTGGCATCCCTAAAGCTATCGGTCAAGCACTGGAGGAAGCAGGAAAGGCCGCAAAGGACTAGGAGGAAGAGAGCCATGTATGTACTTATTGCACTCAAACATTTCCCTTGGTTTGTGAGAATCGGGGACACGATTTGGAAGGTTAGAACAGATACCGTGGGGAGAAGCTTTGTGAGTAACTCACTTGCTTTGAATGTCTTCTTCATAGCCTTTCTCGCTGGACGTTTTGCCTTGGGTTTCCTGCGAGGCAACTCCGGTGGTGGTTCATCTCTCAAAAGGGGTTGCTTGTGTTCTTCAGTTGCTTCCGTGGTGGCTTCTTGGTGTTTCATGTTAACGTGATCCATGGCTCACGAGTTTGTTTTTTTTTTTTTGTGCTTGTTTCTTTTTCGACCTTTTCTTAACGTTTCAGCTATTTGGTAGCGAGTTTCTGATTTCATTGGATGTTGATATTAAGGGGGTTAAAGCATTAAAAAGAATTGTAAGAGATGAATTTTTTTAGGCAAAAATGTATCCTTGATCTGTTTCAGTTTCGTTGTTGCAAAGTTCTTTTAAATTGGTTATTAAATTAGTTAATCCTTCCTCTATGGTTGTTTTGGAAAAAAGTATTGACGTTAATCTTCGTATTTACTATTTGGGTGGAGTTTTAGGTGGAAGGGGCAGTTAACGGTCTTCTTAAAATATGATTTAAGAAACAAACAACGAATCATTTAAACTTATTTATAAGTTGTAACAAAAGACAATTAAGCATTTTCACCCATACAAAAAGAAACAACCTAGTTGTCTTCACACAAATGAATTTACCGACCACGTGAATTAATTAACAAAGCACTTGTTGGACTACCTATTTTGCTCAGTGTTATTAAAGCCGAGCCACTCGACCCGACCGGTAAAATCGCCACCCGGTTATAAAACCGGTTCGGAATGGTCTAAAAGTCGCTCCGGTTCTATGTAGTGGTTGGCGAGCGGCCGAGGTGGTTAACCGTTCGAGCCGATCGAGCCGCTCGTCCGGTTTTTGCCATTCAGCCACTAAATTTAATTCAAAAAATTGCAGAAAATTGAAAATTGAAATAAACCAAAAAAGCCGGGCTCTCAAACTGAATCCTTATTTCCATTTCACAATTTCGAAGGAAAGAGATGAGCTCTGATTAAGAAATGTCCACTATATATACTGATAACGTTTATTAGGTACCGGTTCTCTAACGATTTTTAAACGGTCTAATGTTGGTTGGACCACTAAAGTGCGAGCCGTTCGCATTACCGGGTCATGCTCCGGTTCGATTCTGACAACATTGATTTTGCTTACCAGAGTACAATACATTTTTTTAACGTTTTTATTGGTTAGTTCATTTAAATTCAAGTTCATTATTATCATAAATGTGTTAAAATCTCATTTTATTGAAAAAAATTAGCAAGACTCATATGAATTAGTTTTTGAAATTTTTTGTTATCCCTTATTGATAACACCTAAATTAGTGTTATTTAACCTTCATTTTAGGATTGTTTCGTGCTAATTCATGTGAATAATTGTTAGAATAGCGTCGATTGCATCCCTATTTCGTGGTTATTTGATTATGATGTGATTTTAGAGTGTTTTAGACAATACATGCAAATTAGGTACGAAAAGGGGCACAGAGTTATGGGTGAAAAGCTGCAGATCACGGTCTTAAGAAGGAAGATCGCGATCAGGAAGGGAGGACGTGAAGAAAAAGCTGCGATCGTGGCCTTCAGCCTAAAGATCGTGACCGCGATCTTCAGAGTGATGGGCGCAAACTTGGAAAGGCAGCCAACGAAGGACAAAAAGAGAGTTTCCCCAGTTGAATCACGACCTCTGTCATGCGAGCCCGCGAGAAATATCGCGGCCGCAACATCAAGGATCGCGACCGAGATGTCAGGCCGCGATCCTCCAAGTTCTCAACGCATAAAGGTGCTCACCTGAGATCAAGGCTTTGCCTCATAAGTTCACGAACGCGAACTTCTGCCTTGCTCATGAACTTGCCCGAAATCTTAGAATTCTATAAATAGGGGTCTCCCATGGAGAAGAGGGCTTTTGGCAGATTTCTAATTCTAGAGAGAGATTAGATAGAGAAGTTAAAGGAAGGAGGAGGAGAGGAGGAGACTGAAGAGCTTGCAGGAGGACTTCCTTCACTTGAAGTCCCCCCTTCTTCATGATTTATTCCCATCTTTGTATGTTTTATCTTCCCCCCTCATGGGGTGATCTCCCAAGGTACTAGGGGTTCTAAACCCCAAATCCTAGTTTTAGGTTTACTATGTAACGAATGAATATTTTAGGGTTTTAATGAATGAATGTGTTTATCTAGTTGGTTTCATTATTTCTATAGCTTTGATTGTGTTTGGGTAAGTCACCCTAATCTTCTCTACTAGCCTACTTGAGCTTCTACGCTGGATATGGAGTTTTAGGGTTAGATGGGTATGCGCCATCAAGCAAATTGAGGTTAGATGTATGAATAGGATCTTATGGTGGACGAGGCGATTGTACCCCTGCCATAGGAATGCGGCCCTGAAAGAACCCAGAATAAATCCTCGGTGTGGACGGTGGGGTGTACTCTTTGAAATGAGCTATGACCTTAATACCCCAGATACAATAGTCTAGATCGAGGTGACTGACATGGGTTTAGGGGAGGCGTACTCGGAGGCTTGTGGTTAACCACGAAAGACCTTGGAAAAGAGCTCATCACCACATTCGAAAAACCATATTTATCTAAACTTTGCATAGTAGTCCTAGGCTAGGGTGACGGAATTAACCCGAGTACCTTTTCTCATCTATCGATCTTTAGTTTAGGAATCGTCAACTGCCTACTTGCTAAATAACAGGTTGACTAGATAACGATCGAGTCTAAGTAGCCTAGGATACCGTGGAATGCGACTGAGTCGCTTTACTACATCCCTATCTAGGTTATACTTGGCCTTGTTAGGATTGACTAGTGAGTGTGCTTCGAATTTATAAGTTTAAAGCTCGATCGAAGCAACGATCACTTATATTCTTGGGTTATACTTGTATTTTGCTTCTCTATTATGTAGATTTATCAAACATAACTCTCTACAGTTTTCACGAAACTTCTATCCTTCTACTATGACAATGTTATCATACATGTTCTTAAAATTTCCGTCCAATGTCATAAACCACAGTTAGCACATGATCTGTCAAAACCGAACTAAAATGACTAAATTGCTCACACAAATTGTGAGGAAAGAATGATAATAAACAAAAGATAAAAATAAAACTCACCAATGAACAATAACCCATTATGAAGTTTCATATTTTATATGATCAAAATATTTTAAAACTGCATAATTATTTATTAAGAGTGCTCTTAATGTTATCTCGATCATTAACAATTTCGTCACTCTATTAGACTAGTCAACTATTCCATTGCAGAAAATATTCTACTAACATGTGTATTGACAACAATTAGTAGCAAACTAAACCTAATTTTAGAAGCATATACATTGATGGAAACCAATTTTCTCTAATAATCCGCACGTCATACCTATCTTGATAAACTATATTAATGCAGATATTAGAGGTTAACTTAATTTATATAATCGAACGTGGTTGGGTACTAAAAATTTGACAATTAACCATAAAATTTGGAGTTCTTTATTTATTATTGATGTATTAATACTACTAATGTTTGGTGGTTTCTCTAAATCGAGGAGGTGCCATGAAACCCCTTACTAGCTCCGCCCCTGACCACCACCCCTTCGTCGCCAACTAGTTCATAAAAAACTATAGTTATAAACTAGGTTCCTCTCTACTCGCTACAACAACTTAGATAAATATACCCTAGATTGGAGAAATAATATAGTAGTGACAAAGTTTGCATTCTACGTGTCTCACCACCACCCCTTTGTCGCCAACTAGTTCTTCAAAAACTCAAGTTATAACCTAGGTTCCCTCTCTACTAGCTATCCCAACTTAGGATAAGTATACCCTAGATTGGCAAAATAATATAGTGGTGAGAAATTTTGTATTCTACGTGTCATCAAATTTATTGCTATTTTTTTGCTTCATCACTATGTAACCGATCAATTGGTTGTTCAATTAACACCAATAAGCAAGCGGAACTTAACTTTCAAGTAAAGGTGTACTGAATAGAATGTGGGTACCTTGGATTGGAATTCCTCTAATACTAGCATGTGATAATTTGAATGGAAATTCATGGAATTCCTCTAATACTAGTTCTAGGTACTTTACCTGGTTAGATCATTCTTCACCCATAGGATCAAAATGAGCACTGCAAGATGATCACTACTAGGAGTGATAGGGTGACTGTTGACCCACCTGTTCGGACCAGACAAGAGGAGGAGAGACCTGCTTCAGCATTTCTAGTAGATGAGGAAGAAAGGGAAAAGGAGATTGAGGTGCCTGTTCCTAAGCCACAACAAGTGGTGAATGAGTATGTTCCTCAGCTTCCTTTCCCTACACGGTTGCACAAAGACTGACTGGAGGCTGAGTTTTCCAAATTCATGGCAATGCCTAAGCAGATAGATCTATCGTGCATCCTAGGGGTATTGCAGAGGACTTGATAGTCACACTAGGGCTATTCTCCTATCCTGTTGATTTTGTTTTTCTTGATATTAATGAGGATGTGGAGGTGCCTTTAATTCTGGGTAGACCTTTTCTCGCCACCGTCAAGGCACTTATCAATGTTTATGATGGTAAACTGATTTTGAGAACCGGGGGTGAACAAATCACATTCTCTGTTTCTGATAATATGAAACACCCCCCCAGCTCCATGATGATTTAGATTACTGCGATGTGATTGCTGAATTTGATACCACACTCGCCATCACGAGTGTAGATTCTAATGATTTTCTAGAGCATTGTCTTTTGCTAGGGGAACAAGCATCACAAGAACTGCAGTTGGAGGAGCAGCTCACGGAGCTAGAGGGCACCGCGATCGCGGGGCGAGAGCCGCCATTCAAGTTGATCTCTATCTTGCCCCGGATTGCCACATCATTGAAGCAGCCACCAGATTTGGAGCTTAAGCCCTTCCCTTCTCACCTGGAGTAAGCATTTCTCCGAGAGGGGAATAAGCTCCTAGTAATCATCAGCTTGGAACTGACCCCCTAGCAAAAGAGCAGTTTGGTGGCTCTGCTGAAGAAGTACACCCGGGCCATGGAATGGAAGATAAATGACATTAGAGGCTTTAGCCCATCATTCTGCTCTCACAGAATTCTGATGGAGGATGAGGTTAAGCCAGTCCGGCAGCAGTAGTGGAGATTTACTCCTAACTTGGAGGCAGTGGTCCGGGAAGAGATCGTGAAGTTGATGGATGCAGCGATCATCTTGGCTATATCTGATAGCAAGTGGGTTAGTCCCACTCAGATGATTACGAAGAACAGCGGGATGACCGGGTCCCTAATGAGAAGAATGAGCTAATCCCGATGCAGACCGTGACTGGCGGGCGAGTCTGCATCGACTATCAGCACCTGAACGACGCCACCAGGAAGGACCATTTCCCGCTCCCTTTCATTGATCATATGCTGAAGAGGTTGGCTAGATATGAGTTTTATTACTTTTTGGATGGCATGTCTGGGTAGTTCCAGATTCCCATTGCGCCATAGGATCAACCAAAGACCACCTTCACTTGCCCCTTCAGTACTTTTGCATTCCAGAGGATTCCATTTGGGCTCTACAATGCACCGGAGACCTTCCATCGGTGTATGATTGCGATCTTTAATCGTCTAGTTCGAGAGATCATGAAAGTCTTCATAGACGACTTCTAAACCATTAATGAAGACTCCTTAACTCATTGTCTCCATAACCTGGAACTTATCATGAAGAGATGTGAGGTGACTAATTTGTCACTTAGCTAGGAGAAGTGCCAATTTATGGTTCTTGAGGGCATTGTGCTCGGGCACAAAATCTCCTAGCATGGGATCAAGGTAGATCGTGCAAAGATTAAGACGATAAGCAAGTTGCCTCCTCCCGTTTCTGTGAAGGGGATCCACAGCTTTTTGGGTAATGCAGGCTTCTACAGAAGGTTTATCAAAGATTTCTCGAAGATCGCCCTGCCCCTGACCAAGATGCTCGATAAGGATGTACCCTTTTATTTCACTCCAGTATGCATATTTGGATTCGAGACCTTGAACGAGAAGCTGACCCATGCACCCATCATGGTGACTCCTGATTGGTCTCTGCCAATGCAATAAAAAGCGTGATTCTACCTAGAAGCGGAAAGGGGGTAAAATCGTAAAGCGCAGAATTAAAACGTAAAAGTGTAAGTTTTTTACGCATACTGTAAAATTACTAAAAATATGTTAAGTACGACATATACTATGTAAAATTTGAGTGCACAAAATTTAGAAAAGTTAATAAGTACCTGAAATTCATGCCTAAAGTAGAGCAGCTTATACCCTCTTAATACTAAGTTCATAAACATAAATCTTAACAATAAGTCACCTTCCCCTATATGCTAATGAATTTGGGAGGAGCTTAGTTGGTGAATTAGATTAATCTATTGAAACTGAGAATGCATTCAAGTACCTAGTATGTATCTTTTAATCTCAAATGTATCATATTGTCGGTGATTTACCATTAAAATATACTTTTTATAATTAATGTCATGAAAAGAATACCCATTTAGTGAACTAAAAGCATAAAACCGTAAAGCGTTTTGGTGAACTAGAAGCGTAAAAGCGTAAGCTTTTAAGCTTTAAAACGCAATTTAGTCCGATTTTGTACACTAAAGATTTTATGTGGAAATGAAAGCGTTTTGGTGACCAAGAAGCGTAAAACCGTAAGTTTTTAAGTTTTAAAGCGCGATTTTAACTGCATTGGTCTCTGCCATTCGAGCTGATGTGTGATACGAGTGACTATGCAGTCGGAGCCGTTCTGGGTCAAAGACGTGAGAACATTTTTAGCCCATCTACTATGCGCCGAAGACCTTGAGCGATGCGTTGGAGAACTACACCATAGAGAAGGAGCTGCTCATCGTGGTGTATGCATTTAACAATTTCCAACCATATATGGTGCTCTCCCATCAGGTGGTCTACACAGATCATTCTGCCATCCGCTACTTGATGAGCAAGACCGATGCCAAGTCTAAGCTCATCCGCTGGATCCTGCTTCTGTAGGAATTTGATATCGAGACCAACGACTCCTTCCCAGGTGAGCGATTGCTGGCGTTGTTCTTGGTGCAGAGCGTCACCCTTAGTATTCTAACTTTTCCAATTATCTGGTGGGCAAACAGTTGTCTAAGGGGATGGCCACTCACATCAAGCACAAGTTCTTCTCCAACCTGAAGCATTAATTATGGGAGGGTCCTTACCTCTTCAGGATCCGAGAAGATGGCGTCATCAGGCGATGCATCATGGAGCACGATATGGGAGACATTTTGTCTCAATGTCACGAGGGATCCACGGGCGATCATCATGGCGGGAACCACACGACACAAAATGTGCTACAGTCGGGCTTCTACTGCCCTTGCTCTTCAAGGATGCTGATGCCTTTAAACGACAGTGCGACCGCTGCCAGATGCCAGTTAACATTTAATCCCAGGATGAGATGCCCCAACATATCTTTTGGGAATCTGTATATCCTGGTTGCGGTGGAATACGTTTCGAGGTGGGCAGAAGTTCAAGCCATGCCCACCAATGATTCAAGACGTGTCTGCTCATTTATGAAGCAGTTGTTCTCCCGGTTCGGAACACCTTGAGCCATCATAAGCGATAGAGGAACCCATTTTCAAGGGCAATTCACTAAAATCTTCTCTCGCTATGATGTTAAGCATCAGGTGTTGGTGGCTTGCCATCCCCATACGAATGGTCAAGCCGAGCTGACGAACCGGTAGTTAGATTTTAGTGTTGCAGGTAATGAGCGTAAGTTGCAGCTAGCGGAGTTGGAAGAATGGCGTTACCACGCCTATGAGAATACTCGCCTGTAAAAGGAGTGAACCAAGCGTCTTCACAATGCTCGATTCAAGGGCCTGAAAGAGTATTAGGTCGATGATCACGTTTTTTTACTATAACGCACGGCTGAGACTCTTCCCGGGCAAGCTGCGTTCAAGGTGGTTGGGACCATTCACGATCACCAAGGTGTTCTCGCATGGCGGGGTGGAGATCACCAATGCTCAAACTTAGCCATTTAAGGTGAATGGCCACCTCCTGAAGCTGTATCTGGGAGGAACTGTGAAGCGTGCAGAGCTACTGATCAAGCTCGAGGACCCTTAGTTCCGCCATCTGTGTCCATCTAAAAGATGTTAAAGAATCACTTGTGGGGAGACAACCCCAACACAGTTTGCATTTTCTTTTCCCTTTTGTTTTTGGTTGAATCATTGAGTCTAACTGGAACCTATTTTGCAGTGTTGTGAAAACCAAGCCGAGCCGGCCGGCCGGGCCGCCAAAACCGCCAACCGGGCTCAAAACCGGCTCGGATCAGCTATATAGCCGGACTGGTTCTCTGGGGCGGCCGGCGAGCGACCGAAGCGGTTAACCGCTCGAGCCGGTCGTCCGGTTTTTTGCATCCGGCCGGTTGGTGTAATTAAAAAAAAAAACTAAAATACCGAAAAATTAAAGGGGAAGGAAGGTGGGTCGGGACTCGGGGTCGGGCAGAAGTGCAGAACCCTAATTCCCAAAAAAATTTCCCCATCTTCTTCTTCGTGGAGAGGCTGCCCTGGAGACAAGAAGCGCCGTCGCCATCGCCATCTTCTCCAGCGCCGGCGCCATCTTCCCCAGCGTCGTCGCCGTCGCCGTCGCATCAGCTTCTACCTCCTGTTCTTCTTCTTCTACCTCCTGCAGAGAAGAAACAGAAGAAACAGATAGAGAGAACAGAGAACGAATCAGCTTCTCGTGGTATTCCCCTGCTCTTCGCATCAGCTTCTCGTATTCCCCTGTTCTTCTTCTTCTACCTCCTGCAAATTGCTCCCTTTGGTCTCTGGAGCTGTTGCTAAATGTGAGACTGAATCGTTTCAGTGGGGCTTGAGCTGCCTTCACCTTTACATTCAGTGGGGCTTCTCAAATCTGCCTTCACCTTTATTAATTTGAAGTTCACCAATTTCTTGCTGCCCCATAACTCTGCCTGCACCTTTAGCTCAAGCAATTCGATCCCAATGTGAGACTGAATCGTTTCAAATCTTCCCGCAGTGTGTGTTTCAAAGAATTCCATCAACTAACTAACTCAGAAATTGGGATAAAAAATGATGTAGTTCCTAAAAATTACTGTTTATTAGGTACCGGTTCTCAAACGGTTTTTAAACGGTCTAATGCCGGCTGGACCACTAAAGACCGAGCCGTTCACGTTTCCGGGTCGTACTCCGGTTCGGTTCTGACAACATTGCTATTTTGTGATCCCAGGTGGTGTGAGTTTGTCTGTGGTTGTGTGTGTTACTTTTTAGTCGAGGCACGAATGGGGTTGGTTGTTTGAAATTGCGGTTTCGAATTTTTGGCAGGGAGCCTCGACATAAAAATTACGGGCATAGGGGGGATAAATACGGTCCTATTTCTCACCCCCTTACCCGTATTTCACCTTTCTCCCCTTGTTATCTCTCAGCATAAAAATCATGGGCAAAGGGGGTGAAAAATACAGTCTTAATTTACAACTCATTGCCCGTAATTTGAGCAAGAAGCAAAGCGGACTTGCGACATTAAAAATACGGGCGGCGGGCTAGGAAATACGACCGTAATTCTCCCAGGGTCTTTGAAACCCTAGGCACTGCTTATATTTCTCTCTCCTCTTTCATTTTTCTACTTGTATTCTCTCTCCCGGTCGCTGGAAAATCGAACCTCTCCTCTTCTCCAGCGGTTTTTCCGCCGTATCTCCTTCCCCCGACCTTCAAATCGAATCCGAAAGCACCCTTGTGCTCCTCTTGGTCGGGCGCTCCTGCCCCAATAGTTTGTTTGAGTTTGGCTGCGGTTTGGTCACCAGAAAATTGCGCCCCTTCGGCGGTTTTTTGGCCTGATCTCCCTACTCTGACTTCCAAACTCGCATCCTCCACCAACACTGAATTCCTAGCGCCTGTACGCCCGTTCCCCAGAGTTGGCGGAGCTCAATTCTCCAGCAAAATAACTCCGGTGAGACTCAGGCGAGACTCTAGCGAGCTTTCCTTGCAGTTTTCCAGCAAATTTTGGTGGTATATCCCTATTCCCTCACGTTTCCGTGGTTGCCACTTGAGCCTCCAGTTGTGTTTATATAGTTGTCTTTTCTAATTTTGGAGGATTGATACCTAGTGTAGGTGAAGAATTCGGAGATTGGATTTTCAATTGTGTGAATTCAGTAGGCCTGTGGTTTTGCATGCTTCCCTGAATGTTTTTATGTCCCCTTGACTGAGTTGGCCTATTAATTGCATGCTTTGAAGGGTGGAATTAGTTTTGCTTGGTGTTGAGAATGTGGTATATGGTTCTTGAAGGGTGGAATTTAATTTTGGATGTTCATGTATACCTCACTTGGAGCCTAGTCCACTGTCCGAATTTTCTTATTCGAGGTCTCCAACAGCGGTTTATCTTTTTCATCTTCATTGATCTTGTTTCTATGTATGGCTTGTGTGCATGTTGTCCTTTGGTAGCATAACCGTGAACGACTACCTGGACATGCTGAGCCGCGATCAAAGGAAGACTCTGCGGGAACTCAAGAACCACGCCTTCTTTGAGCACCATCTCCTCTTTGAACTCAAGAACCTGGACATGTTTGAGGAGTTGGGTTTTTGAGAGGCAATGGAGGATGTTGTTCGCACCTACTCCTGGCGGTGCCTCCTCTGCCTCTCTGAGCAGACTTATGAGAAGCTCGTCTGGGAGTTTTATTCCACTTTCCAACACTTCCAGACCCGAGCTGGCGCACACGGCAATGCCATCCACTTCACCCTAGGAGGAGAGGCTCATTCCCTTAGTTATGATAACTTCGCCAAGGCCTTGAACCATATTCCTCCACTTGCTTGCCACCTTGCCATCGAGCAAGCGGATCCTCCGACCTTCTAGGATCAGCGATTCTTCGAGAGGATCTGCCTTCCAAAGTTCTCTGGCGCTGTGTACATGCTGGGTCAGAATATTGCTATTTAGCTATGCCATGAATGACACATCCTCAATTAGATTTTGGGCAAGTCCTACGCACCTAGCCGGGCTCACCCAGTAACCTCCAACTCAGTACTATGTCTTTCCTTCACTCGATGAGCCAGGAGGAAGATAATCTCCACTTGGCCTCTGTCATTGCCAGGAAATTCACCAAAGCCACTCATTGCGGTCGTGCTCTCATTTGTGGGCCGGTGATCACTGCTCAGGCCCGATATTACGAGATCGACCTCATCGGCTTCACTTTGTTCCAGTCGTAGGCACCTTTTAGCTAGAAGAATCTCTGGTGCTAGTTCTTACTCCAGCACGAAAGGGACGTGACCTGGATTTGGGGGCGTCCTAAACCTCCCCCTCCTGTACCATAGGATATCGATCTCTTTGAGGGGAGTGCTATTGGAGCTCGTAGTAAGCCCCGTCAACCTGCCTGCCGTACCCAGGCCTCTGCCGTTGGCCCATCCAGTTCTTCCACCGGCCTCTCTACTGCTGCCCCCTCGACCTATATCGATGAATAGCTGGCAACCATTGCTCGTCAGAATGAGTTGATTCTCGTCATCTAGGAGCACATTAACCGCCGACTCGATCGTGAGCAAGATGGTCGCCACCGCACAATTTCAAGGCAGCACTACCTGATGCATTACTTGGACATGGACCCCGCTGCTGTTCACTATCCTTGGGTGGCCTCACCTGGGTACGAGGATGACTACCACCCCTCCCCCAGCGGGTGATGGAGGCAATGAGGCCTAGGGTGGCGCCGATTGATCCCTTCTGGGATGCTGGGTTATGTTTTTTCTTTCTTTCCAGACTGAGACTCCGTTGTTGGTTTTTCTTTTTCTTTTACTATGGATTGTAGCCTTGGAACTATGGTTTTTATCACCCAGTGTGTGTGTTTTGATGACTCTAGCTCTGTGCATTTCGACTGGTTCCCTTTCAGTCCCTTGCTCTTAATTGGTCGGCCTTCCATTCGCTGTTCCCGATCATCATTTCCTGGTAATAGCGTTCCCCTTCCCTCTACTCCATTGAGGGCAATGTTAAACTTAAGTGGAGGGAGGGGGGGGGGGGGGTTGTCATTATTGGAACATATGTTTGTGTGCTTGGAGCCTAGTCCGCTGTCCAAATCTCAAGATTTGAGGGCTCCAAGTACTGTTGTTTGCATGATCATATTGGCACTATGGTTTATGTGGTGAATCGATTGACTGTTAACATTGATGCATGAAAACTTATTAGTGACTAGGACAACCTATAATGATGATTCAGACGTGTAGTAGAGTTGTGTAGGGGTTTAGTTTTCCAACTGTCTGCTTACCAACTGCGACTTGGATTGATCACTTATTTTTTACACTCGTTTATGCATCTAGTTAAGGGAATCCGAATGAGAGATAAAACATATAGGTATTCGTGTGAGATTTGAGCCTGCTCGTTTCTTTCTTGTGCGATAGATCCCTCTTTCACAATGTGTAACATTCACGTTGCCACTAGTTAGGATGATGGAGGCATAGGATTAGCCCACGACCAAATTGACTGTCTAGGTGTGTCATACCCCCTAGTCAGACCCTTTGAACTGTGTAACTTTCCTTCTTTGTGTCTGCACTGAAAAATCACCTGCTTGCATCTATTTGAGGTTCCACAGAGTGGTTTTTGGATGTTTTCTGCTGATTCTGCCTAAAATAAGATGAGGGTTGGAGGTAGTTCTTAAAATCTGGGCATGTGTTTGCAAGGATAAAAGAATGTGAGAAGCGGTGGTTCTCTCAATAAAAGAAAAATAAAAAAAGAAACAAATGAAAGCAAAAGAGAGCCACCAAAAAAATCTTAACCATCATGTTGAAGAGACGTTAGGGATTAAGAGTACGAGTATGCACATCTTGCATCAAATTTTGTCTTGACTCCACTGATTGAGAGTGAGTGACATAGATTGCTCGGTCTTGATTCTGATGGCTTGAATTTTATGCATGAGGTGACTGTCTTGAATAAGTGGTTGAGTCAAGTCTATGTTGGTTGGGGAACATAAGGGGGACTCTTCCTTTACTCAATTTTGCTGCACTTGAATAACATCTGTGGTGGTTGTCTAGGTTGCCGTTGAGATTGTTCATGCGTTGATGTCTAAAAGCTAGTACGATTCACGTGTGTTGTGCCTATATGATATGTCCCCAAAGTTTGCATTATTAAAATATTTTGAGCTTACCTTGTATCTGACTTGGTTTGCTTGGGACAAACAAACGGTTAACTGCGGGGGATTTTGATAGCGTCATATTTTCACGTGTTTGCACTCTCGTTTCTTAACCATTTTGGCTCGAATTTGTGGTTCCTTAGCCTATTTTACGCTCAGTTGTGTTATTTTGTCATATTTCAAGTCCTAGTAGGTAAGGAAAGGCTTAGGCGCAAGTTTCAGGTCGTTGGGAGATCATTTGGTGATTTTGGAAACAAAATACTGTCGTCCCCTGCCCAAAATATGACCGTATTCACAGACTACTGCCAGTATCTTTTATGTCGAGCATGATGAAGTCTCAGGTAAGAATTATGGTCAAGCTTCCAAGAAATATGGCCGTATTTCTCCAGCGTCCAACCCGTGTTTTTTTATGCCGAGGCGATCCCTTGAAGATCTACGAGGAAAGCCAAAATACGAGCAGGACAGGAAGCAATTACGACCGTGCTTTGCCAAATACTGCCAGTATTTCTCCCAGATATGACCGTGGTTTCTCCGCATCAACTTAAGCAAAATGCGCGTTTTTGACGAAATATGGGTAGAGAAGAAATAAGACCATAGACTTACCCGTATTTTGCCCATAATTGGGGGTAAAGAGGAAAGTTCAAACTAA